CAGCTGGTTTTTTTTTTTTTTTTCCTGTGCACGTGCATGTGCACCGCTCTCTCGCGCATGGCGCACAGCGCCCCGCGCCGCACTGCGCACCGTACCAGTGCGCCGCAACTATGCAATGAACCAATGGCGAATCCCTATCTGGCGCTCAGCGCCCAGACTACGAATGACAGATCATATCTAGCCTATCTACGATGCCGCTGGTGACGTCAACAGCTTTCCCAAGTACGGGCAGATCTCGGACAATGCCGTTCGTCTCAAGCACCTGGTATGTCCCACGCTTCACCCACAACCTTGATCCCCCACACAGATGCCACATGCACCCAAGGACCACCATGCACAGGCCAGCTCGGCTATGGCTGCCTGATTCTTCCCTGCTCGCCCGTGAGCGCGTAGGCACTCGCTTCAGCAGCTGGCGCAGCAGCACTTGCGCATAAGCAGCGAGTGCCCGAATGTCCAGCCAACAGCCAGGCCCTTCCCTTTATGGAAAGTCGCTGCCGCTCGTGGGCCGCCTGGCTGGCCTGGGCCTCCACCCGGAAGCTTCCGGTTGGCCCTCGGTGGCTGCGGTTCTGTCGCAGGAAACTCACCCCGGGCCTGCGGTGGTTACACGTATTCAACTGCCCAGCGGCCATTCTCTTCAGTTCTTGCCCCGCATATGGCCCAGGGCCTGCGTCCGATTCATACGGATAAAGCAGAGCCAGGGCCTGGGCTCAACCAACCAACTGACGCTGCGTAACTGCCTGAATTTCCCCCAGTTGCAACAAAGGCAAAATACTAAAATAGGCTTCTCGCTGCTGAACAGGCCCGCCTTCACTTAGTGCGGCCTGGCATGCTGGAAACAGGGCCCGATAGGGCTCGTCGAGGCCTCAGGCCTCACAAAAGATTAAAAAATGTGAAAAATGATTAATATATCAGATGGTGTGTATCATCGTGTTTTTCTGCTGAAGAGCTACGGTGGTGGCCCACCACTCTTACGGATTTTTTTAATTTTTTTTTAATTTGGACCATTTCTCGATTTATGCGTGTCATCCTTGATTGCGCAGGGGCCATGCTAATCTTGTCTAGGTTCTCTGTATCGTTCCAATTTTAACGGATGTCCCGAAGGACACTCTTACGGATTATTACCACTAAGCTAAGAAAAAAAAAAAAAAAAAGGAGAAGTCTGCTCTCTCGTCCAATTCCACTGAGACCGGCTATACTCACTTCGGAGTTTTTCAGGTGAATCTGACCATAGGTTGGCATCCAGGTTCATTCAAGAAAGTCAGGATGAGTATGCGCCAAGTCAGAAAGCAACAGACTCAACGATGATATTCTGTAGGGCATACTCACTGCAGAGTTTTTCGGCTGAATCTGGCCGTACGTTGGCGTCCAGGTTCGTTCAAGAAATTCAGGGCGAGTATGCCCGAAGTTGGAAAGCAACAGACTCAACGATGATATTCTGTATATGATCGATAACTTTTTTTAAGTTTCCTCCCCCCCCCCCCCCCCCCCCCCC